TATATATGTATGTATATATATATATATATATGTATAAGGTCATAAGGTAGGTCCTAGTAAATTTATAAGGTAGTTCCCTAATTTTTTTATGTATTACTTACACTATTATTAAAAAAAAAAAAATAGGTAGGTCCTAGGATGTAATGTCCGCAGATTCGAGCTAGACAATTGTAACACTCGTCTTTCAGGTACCTTTCAATTTATGGCTTAAGTTAAATATTTTTGCAAATCTAGTCCTTACGCATGGCGTAACTCATTAATAAGGGACGTGTGTTTCTTCGAGTACGTCGGGCGTACATATGGATACGCAGGGCGTACTCTTGCTGGTGACAAACCCTATTTAAACACCTTATGTCCCCTTGTGGCCTCTTCATGCTCAACCTCCTTTCACCCCCAAAGCTGTTATTCGAAACCCTAGCCCCCATTAGTGAACGTTTGTGACCTTTGATTGGTTTTGTGGGGTTTTGGTACTCTTAAAAGAAGAAGAAGTCAACCATTGAAGCTTGGAGAAGCTCAAGCTTCTAGATCCAGAACTTTCATCATCGTTGCAAGCTTCTAAAGGTATAAAGCTTGTACCTTTATGTTTCATTTTCTAGATCTAGAATTAGTCCATGTTATGTTATGCTTTTAGTCCCAAGATTTGGACTTTTGAGGTATGGGTTACTCTAGATGTCATGAGTGTCATTTCTGGTCATTTTTTAGTTGATTAAGTCTTAAAAATGGGAGCTTGGACACTCCTATTTATCCATGCATGAGATTTTGGACATTGGAGTGTACTTTGGACTTAGGGTTTGGATTTGTGCCTTACTAAGCCATGCAAATGCATTAAGTTGGTGACTTTATCAGTTAAGGTGTTCCTTAGGTTAAGATCTTTGAGTTGGATGAAAGGTCTTTAAGAAATAAGAGCTTAATGGCATGAATTAGACATCTGATGAGTACGCTGGGCGTACCTTCCTGGTACGTACATCGTAACGGGTTTAGCCCATGTCCCCATTCGGTGAAGGTTCAGTAAGTTTGGTGTACGCACGGTGTACTCACCTGAAACCCTTTTGGGCCATTTTTGGCCCTTGGGTCAGTTTGGTTCTTGGGCCTAGAGTAGGAAGGGTAAAATGGTCTTTTACCTTTTGTAAAAAGGTTTACGATTTGGGCTTTTATTTGTGGGTTATTACCCTAAATAGTGATTAGGGTTGGTTTGAATATGTTCAGTATGAGGAGCCATTGTAGCACACCCCCGTGGCTCAGCACATCCCTGTCTATCCTCATCGAGCCTTCGACTCCAGGGGGGGGGGGGGGGGGTTAGTATATCCCACATCGGTGTGACACGGTCTTATAAGTAACTATATATGTTGGAGTCTCTTCTCTCCGCAACGGATCTTTTTAGAGAGATAATATTGGGCTCCACATATATTAACATATAAGAACATAGTAAATGTTCCAGAAATGGGTTGGATTCTATATACTCGAAAATCAATCAGCTGATTCTCTATATCTCATCAAGAATGCAACACGACAAGGTATTTTCTGTGTTTCGAATTTGAAAGTGGTCTGACTTCTAAATTGTATTTTCTTGGATTATCCCAAATCAGATTTCGTGATACCCCAGGAAAATTGATTGCAATCATGATCCTAGGAATTATCCAAATACATATTGATATTCTCAAACTTCAAAATCTAGTAGTAATTCATTAATTGTAAAAAAAGATATGAGTATTTTGTTTTCTCTTCTGTTGAAATTTTCAAATCACTATTTCCTGGTTTGATGGAGTTGCAATATTCGCACCCAAAAATCAAATTCAAACTGAAATCTACTCATCCTTTTTCAAAACATGGAGCCGACTTGGTGTGATTACGCCAACAAGAAAGTGATTCAAAAGATATGTCTTTACATATCTATTTACATATCTATTAAAAAACTGATTAAATTGTGTTCTGTAAAAACATAGCACTTATTATATTTTGTATCCTAATGAATCCAAAACTGAAGTTCTAGTTTCTATCACTCAAATAGAATTATAGTCGAAAAAAGCTTATCAAAAAGATGTAGTAGTTAGGGGTGGTTGCTTGTTTACTGCAACATAAACCGACCAATCCATATTTAAATCCAACTCAATAATGTCGATTTTTAATTAATATTGACTTTCATTTATTGAATAAAAAACTTTGACGCATTATTAGTAAAATTAGATGACGACAAGTTGTCTTTATAGAAAAAAATTTTAAAAGAAACATTGATGTGTACATATGTTTATATCTATGTATGTATATGTGTGATATAGGATGTAGTTGGCATCTCACCTACAAATCAACCAACATATTCTTCTTGTTTGTATGTTGTATTTATTTATATTAAAACTCTTTTCTGTAATAAAATTGGCCAAAAGAAGAAGCAGTTGCTACGTTTCAATGGTGCAAATAACAAATTAATGATTATGCGAAAATGGCAACCTATGTGAAAATGAAGTTATATAAAAAGATTAGTAGGTACATCATATCATGGTTCATGCACAAGAGCATACACAAGAAGGGGTAGGTGGATACTTCCCAATTGAAATATTTGGATATAATGATAGGTTGTTATTTGCACTTAATTTGGGTATTGAGTAAGACATGTTAATTGCTTTAAGTTTGTCTATTCTTAAAATTTTCATGGATTCACTTGTGTGATCATATGAAGATAGGTACGACAACTAGTAATGAAAAACATAACAAACTGGAGATCATATGAACATAACAAACTTGAGCAAGTACAATAAATAGATGAATGAAACCACACTCTAATCCGTATTGGAATCTTAGGAAATCTTAACATGACAATCCATATTTGGACTCGAGGTTGTCAATATAAGAGTTTGAACTTAAGAGTATTTCTAATAGAAATTTTGAGATGTTCTTTATTAATAAGTAACCCATAAAAAACTTTTTTTCATCATTAGAAAGGATAGTTTTTAACTTTTTATTATTCAACTATCAACTATATTTATCATACTAAATGTTTTTTATTTTTATTTTTGCGTGTTGTATAATCGACCCCTATTATTCAATAATTATTCATTTTACTTTTATAAATATATTTCACCGTCAAAGTTTTATTATTTATTAACTAATTAATTTTTCATTTTAGCCAATATTAAATATTAAATCCATAACTGTCGTATGTTATTTTTATAACCATTTAGGTAAAAAGCTTATCATTTTTATGGAATCTAGATTTAATACTACTTATTTTATTTTTTTGTATTATAATATATTGATTTTATTTAATGCTATTATTAAGTACTTTTTGATAAATACTACTTATGCTTAAGTAACAACACATTATAATTAGATGATGATACTTTATTAAACATTTCATAAAGATGAGGGTAGTAAGAAATTAAAAAAAAAAA